CAGGAAAGGACGACCGGGGTATGAACGCATTAATGGATGAGGCACCGATATTTAAACGAACATTCCCTGCCAAGCCCTTTGATAGCGTCATAATGGACAGTTTCAATATTGAACTTGGAGTCTAAAATAATTACCCTGCAGCAGTTTGGGAGGCTCTATGCTCCGTAAGCTGTTAAATGAAACTCTTTAAATTTTATCACTGACTTGGGTGGTCAATTATTTCACAGTTATTTCAAGGCATTTGTGACATTCTTTTGTTTTATAGCAATGTTATCAAATATAAAATGACTGAAAGGCATGACATTCCATCATGTGATTCTGTTTCCGGTAATATGGGGAACATACACGGTATTTCTGACCAAGGTCTTAATTATGCGTCCGCTAATTGATGCAAATATTATATGTTAAAATGTTTATTTATGAATTTGTTAGTTAATAAAATAAATTGAATTAGTATTGACTAGAAATGAAAGGATTCTATTCAATAATCAACGCTGATCGGTATTATTTTTACAAAATATTACATATCGGACAAACTGAGCGTGGAATAGTCACACAGTTGATATTCGGAGCGACTAGAGAGATCATATTTTAAAATGTAGCGAAAGGAATTATGTCATGACCGACATGGACTCATTTCTATTACATTTTCGAATTGGCGCCTCTTGTGAGACATTGAACTCCGTAAAATAAATAACACAGAAAATCATTTAATTACGGAATGTTGTACAACAGAATACCAAACGGCGCGAATATATCAAGTTTGAAGATAACTTATTCCTTTACTGCAAATGTAAGTTAGTATCTCACTTTTAAAAATCATGTTGGATCATCATATCGACAGCAGCAAGTTCGATAAGTAATTGTTGTCATGCGAGTTGAACTCTCCTTCGATTGTAGTGCAAACAAGATGATGTATTATACACCATACGGTTTTCAAATACTGAGTTTTAGAACAATATACAATTATTTATCAAGAAATGCACTCGTTTTATTTTATATACTGCTATTACTTGAACTAACTCTTATCAATGAAAATATGAAGATGAGCTAATAAAAGTAAATTATCCATAAACTAACAAATAATAATAATAATAATAATAATAATAATAATAATAATAATAATAATAATAATAATAATAATAATAATAATAATAATAATAATAATAATAATAATAATAATAATAATAACAAAACCACATAATAGTCGGTGGGGGATATAATTAATTAATTTAAATATACAGTTGATGTTCATCACTACTTTAGTATATTGCTTTAGTGACAAATATGGAAGTGTTATAATTGATGGCAAACAAAATAATGATGTACCTGTATAGTTAATGGAATGTCTGACTGAAACATAACTTTCCAAATGTGATGTGATAGTTCACTTTTCAACCTCTGTTAACTGCCGTGTTTTTATTTTGGTTACTCGTTCTCAGACGACCCTTGGGGGCCAGGCACCCAAGATGTACAGTAGTCGATTAATAGTTATAAACAGTTGTAAAAACAACATTGTAACACACCAAGCTGTTAATATACCTAGTAATAACAATTATATCCATAATTTAATGAAAGTGAAAATGTGTAGATAATCTACTAGTATTTTCAGCAGTATGTGTTTATATTTTAACAATGGTCTTCATAAAATGATTAACTATAATATCATTATTTATTAATTATCATAATACTGTGCATTGCTGATTATTAATCGACGCGTTCTCGATGTTCGTTGGGTACCACTCACTGCACAGTTATCAGACTTGACAGTGCTAGAAGTCAAGATACGAAAAGACGTGTGTGTATAAATCGACAATATCCAGCATATTTCCCTACATACATATCCTTTAAACAACAACCATCGACGTCTTAATTTTTTCACATTAAAAAATTCTGGTCATTTTGATCTGTTTTTTAGTTGTAAATATTCTACATGTAACTGAAATCTGATTGACAAACAGTCGATTTCTTTTCCTTTCACGCGTACCACTGCATTCATGTATATTCAATGTTCGACATTTGGGGGTTGTATATTTTAAATAATTGACTCCATTTATAAACATGAAATACATATTAATTATTAATATATTATATATATTCGGTTCATCTATTATATATATAAAGCTGGGGTTAGACCGTCGAGAGACAGGTCAGTTTTACCCCATATATATACA